GTGGTCTTTAATGAACCATCCAAATTCTCAAGTGCCTCTTGCCTTCTCAAGCTGTCAATCCTTTTTTTACAACCCTACCCATCCTTTGGGAAATCCCTCCTACTTGCCATGAATCCTCTGTTTTGTTGCATTCTATTGGATCTTCTGTTGTAAAAAAGGAAAAAAAAAGTGCTGTAGGATTTTGGCCATTCTGATTTAAGTATGTTCTTTTGATAAGATGTTTGCTGCAAAGCATAAATCTTTATCACAAGCATTTTCTTTTGATTCTGCATTGAACATTCATTCTTTGTAAATATTTTTCTCTGGTTCCTTGTCTTGTGAAATATGCCAAATGACTTCCTGAAAAAAAAGTGTATATGTGATTTATGATTTATATGCTGTATTATGATTTCGAGTTCTTGCCTCTTTTCTTATAACTATTCTATTTTCCCCCGATATTTTTTCAAATATTTCGTATGCTGTGTTATGCAGCCGGGAGTATGTACTACTGCACGAGAATTCAGCTGGATGATGCTTATATTTAATGGCTGCTTGAGCATGATCCTCTACCTTGTTAGCATGGAAGAGATGCACATGTCATTTGGAGAAATTGACATTTGTTGGAGTATTATGCAAGGTACGGTGTCTAAGCATGGAACATGTTCCAGGTGTCCATTTTGCAATTATTTGGAGCTATAAGTGTTCACTTAGTTCCATCTGAATAGAGAGAAATGTTGGTTTTTCTGCAGTTTGCGTTGCTTTTGTACCCTATGAATTTATGGCGTGGTCAGTCCTGTGTAAATTAATTACTAGTAACTGTTTGAGGTTTTTATATTATAAAGAGCAGGATTCTAATGATTCTCTTGTCAAAGTTGTCAACTCAACTGGTTTACCATGCAATTTTATCGTGACACGAAGCGACCCAGCTTGAAAATTTCTAGATGAATGTGGGCAACCTCTCTCTCTCTCTCTCACACACACACACACGTACTCACAGAGAAGGAGCGAAGAGTATAATGATGATTTATTCCGTTTGTCTTCCATTTGTTGCTTGGAACCAAGTTGACACTTCTTAAATGAAGTGATGTTAATTATGTGGTTGGGACTGGCTAGTTTTATGATATTTAAGCTGAATCCAGTGGCTTCTAAACTTGTGATGAGATTATTTGATTGACTTGCTGCAATACTCATGAGCGTTTTGCCCATCGAAGTTTCACTTTTTCTGGGTACTTGGAAGAAATTCTTCACCTGGGCCAGGGCTAGCAATTTTGAGTGGGTGAGTGGAATTCCATGCCAAGGCGTTTAATAATGCATTTGTTGGCATGTTTGTTAAGTTTAGTACCTCCTCGTGACCTTATTTAATCGATTCGTTTGTTATTGACTTTTGGACCTTGGGTGCGAGCATGCTACATTGGGCATAACTAGGAGTAGATCATCTTGTTTTTTTTTTGGTTCAACAGTCGGGGAGTCAAATATCTATTAACTGCATATATTTTTGTGTCTCTTGTGAATTACAAGAAAAATGGCTGGAGATTCCACTTTTGTGGGATATGGGCAAATCAATTTTGAGCAGTAGAGTGGAACACTAAGAGGTCGGATATAGAGCGATGACAAATGTGTTCCTCCGTGGAAGTGGTGAGTCAAAGATTCAACTCTAAGAATAAAAGTCTTATCTTCTTCTAGATTCCAAATTTTTTGTGTTGGGCACGGGTTGTTAGTTATTAATAACACCAACATTCTCCGTCAAAATTTCCACCTTAGCCACTGCTTGGAGCAAAAGTTTTCAGATTTTAACTCAAAATTGGCTAAATTTATATGGAAAATCTGATTGATTTGGATTTTTCATTAAAGCAAGGCCAAAGACACTATAATGAATTTAACTCAACAAAGTTTTGTCTCCATAATTTTGAGATTGATTACGTGAGTCGTGTTTAGCAATGACACTATGCTATTCAAACAAATTTAGCTATGAGAGATACATTTTCTTCCCCTCTAACAATACACCCCTTTCACTATAGAAAAAAAAGCAATCACCTAAATGAATATTGCGATGTCAATTCATCATTCTCTCTCTCTGTTTTCGGGGGCTATTTACAAAGCAAGTTGGGTTGAGTATAATAATAAAAAAAAAAAAAAATTAGAAGTCAATAATGGGTTCACCAAGAATCAAATTACGCTCCAAGGTCCATGGTAAGTTAAAGAGCTTTGCCATAATGAATTTGAAGATCTTGTTGACATTGATGTTGTGGGTTGCACTTGAAAAGAAAAGGGTCGCCTTCATAGCTCTGGCATATGCCCTTGCCTGCATTGATAACAAGACACAGAATCTACACCGTTAGATGAGATGATGATGGGTCTGATGAAATCAGAATTTTGCAAAACTAGTTTTTTTTTTTTTTTT